AAAGGAAATAGAGAAAGAAAGAACGATGCTAGGAAATGACTGTGGACCACGTGAGCAGCAAGGCGAGATCCCGTTTAATGTTTCCGTAGTGATGTTTCCGTCTATATCCGGGTGATCGAGTGACAAATTGTGATTTCTCAAATTACAGATTAAAGGAAAAAAAAAAAAAGCTATTAGTCCTATATACTCAAAACTGCGGAGTTTTTATTCACATATAATGAAGAATCTACCGAGCATCAAATAATTTAACCATAAAATTTTATATTCCAACCATGCACAAAATCAAAAATTTATTGTTTATGAGAACAACCCGTTTTAGACTTGGTTTTTTCGCCTATTTTGGCCCAAGTCTATAATTCATATATATTCAATCGAATCATCTACAAAGAATGCTTTTAAAGAGTCTGAAAACTTTTTCAAATTGATTGTTTTTAGCTTTGCAATTAATGAATTTTTTACATGCAAGCAAGCCGAAATTGTTCAAAAATAAATTAATGATGAGCGTAATAAATGTTGAAGATCTTAAAAAAACCAGAAAACAGGGATACTTAACATTTTCTAAGATCAATTTGTTTCATATGGCGTTTGATTCACATATTATCTGCCGATCCAGAATATTTGTTAATGTATTAATTTTTCTTTTTTTCTCATTACAATATTTACGCGTTGATTTTTATCTTCTTATTAAAATATCATTAGTATGAAGTCATCCTTCTCGATTTTTGTGAGTTTTGTTGTGTATCTTTTGGGAATTAAAGGTATGTGTATAGTAGTATTTTCTTTTAATCTTAAAAAGTATTTATAGTTTTAAATTATTTTTCTGACCTAACAGCCGTTTTCGCACAAAAAAATGGTGCATCTAATGACTCACCTTGGATTCCACCCTCCACACAACAAAATACCAGTCCTCAAGCTTTAGATTATTATTACTTATTATTTAATCTTTCTTATCCTGCTGAAGGCAAATTACCTATCTACATTATTGTAAACCCTAACAGAAAAGCACCGTCCCAAGTATCAATTTCATTGTATGATGAATTTAATAATATCAAATTATTAGATATCGCTGATGTTCCTTTAACAAACTATGAAATGGCAATACCTTTCATTGTATATACATGGAATGTGGTTCCAGAGATTATTTCAAATTTCAATTTTACAACTGGTTATTTTACTTTAGTCATGTCATATAATGATAGTGACGCGACTGTAATAAAAGACAGGCATATAAAACTTTCAAATGTAGTAGCTAAACCAGGCGGTGCCCTAAATCCTGCTTTTACTAAGAATATAAATAATAATAATAACGATAATAATAATAATAGTAATACTGGTAGTAATTCTACAGATAGTGGTAGTGGTAAAAAGAATTCTGCCGCAATATCCACTATATCTATTATTACTATTTCATTTGGATGTATTATCACTTTTATTATATCTCAATTGATTTTACCGATCACTATTGATTAAAAAAAAAGTCATATATATATATATATAATATTGGAATTTTAAGATATTTATTTAACCTACAATTCAATTTATTTAATAAATTTATAATTATGAAGATTTAATATTGTAACTTTAAATGCTGAAATGCATCTACTCTTTCGATATTAGTTGTTTTAATTACCGATACTACTTACCAAATGGTTTAATAGTTGAACGATTCAGTATCATTAGATTCGCCTTTAGCGAGTTGAATGGAGCTAAAATAATTATTCAAAACCTAATCACTATACTAAATACAATATATACAGTATAATATCACAATTCAATCATGTACTGTATATAAGTATGAATTTAAATTACCCTCCTATTCGAATTTAGGATATCACTAATAAGGGCGCTAAAAAAAAATCAACGACTTTATTTATTACATATTTTATCGCTACCTTTTACTAGGAACACATTACTATCTTTTTATCTAGATTCTTGATTAAACGAAACCATTCGTACTTATCTATTTGCTACTCTTAACCTCATTTAAACCTACCCAGCTCTTCTACTGTATAACATTAAATATACAAAATATTGCATACCATTTAAAACATCGTTAACTGTTTTCGATATATATGTAATAGCAGATAGTAAAGCAATATATTTTTCAAAGTTATTTTTTATTTGTTATACTGTATATAACATTGGTTCAGACCAGTCAGCCAATAGAATAGGGTAAATTCATGTGATATTATCTGGATGTTCATTTAACAACGAATCCTAATTGGTAAAATTTTTTGTGTTCTATTGCCTGTTACGATCAGATGAATGATAATCAAAATACACAAAATTTTTCTTTTACATAATGGGTAAACGTTCTCTTGAAGTACGTATAAGCGATGATATTTCGGAAACAAAAACTGATATTCAAGGTCCTGTCTTAGGTAAGATATTTGCTTAATCTTTATTTTTATAACTTCAGAATCCTCAACGTAAATTTCTAGCTTCTTTTCAGGGGGTTTCACCACCCCAAAATGTTGGTTTTCGTACCTACAAGAGTGCGAATGGTAGACGTTCGATGGTCGTGGGAGAAAATCCCAGAGTAATATACGAATCGAACGAGTTTAATACCGATCAATCTTCCGAGTATGTCGAAAATTTCCCCCGCACTTAGCATTTCTGCTTATTGACGTAAATAGAGCATTAAGTTATTATAAACTTAAAACCACTGTAGGTATTTAGTTGCCATATATAATAAGAAAGAAAATTCGGTTACTTTTAGTTCTGTTCCTGTTATTGATTTGGTTCCTATTCCAAAACGTATTAAGATGGAAGAACCCAAAGATTCAATTAAGCATGATGACGTAATAATTTTATATTTTTTTAAAAAAGTTTTATGCATTATTATCTTTATCTAATTCTTATGTATATATCAGTATATTATGGCGAAAGCGGCACTTGATAAAGAATTTGGTTCGAAGAAAGCACAAGCAAAGATTCTTGCTTTTGAAAGAGGCAATATTGATGCTTCACAAGTGCGTGATGTTGAAAAAATAGTTGCAAATATTGAAGAAAATGTAAAGACCATGAAAACTAAAGGTATGTAGTTTCTTATTTTATCCATGATTTTAACTTTACTTATTTTTCTCTTTTATTATGCTGTAACAGAAAAGATAAAAGCCGATATGGAATCAAGTCGTCCAATACCACCGTACGATATCAGTGCAACCAGAGTTACTGACATATATAATATGGATGATATCGTGACACCTGCTGAATTTGATGCAATTCCAGTTGCCTCTATTTTGAACGCTAAACACGAATCTCATAGATTGAGTTTGCTGCCATTCAAGTAAATATTTTTTATCATATTTAATCTGTAAATAATTTAAATAATTTTTAATAAATATAATATTTTTTATTTTTTAGATCCTCAAAATATGTCAATTTTCGTCTTTTTAGTTCTTTAGATGCGAAAAATGTCAATTTAAAGCGTATACGCTTGTTATTATATATTAGCTATTTGATGGCATTCAAATCAGCTTCTCATGATGTACTTAATAATAGACAAGAAATGTCAATTAAGATGAATGAGCCACCGGATATCATTTTGACTAACCTTTACGATCGATTTACTGAGACGACTTTTGTCAAATCAGGAGGACGAAAGAAGTATGATTATTACTTTTTGCAAATCTTACATACCTTTATATTGTTGATTGACATGTATTTGTACTTTCAGATATAAGATCACTCCAAAAGCTGAAGAAAAACTATTATGTTACATGTTTACTCTTTGTCTAATTCTTGACGATTTTCGTCTTGATCCAGAGCAGTTAACTTGTGATTTAGGATTAACTACTAAAAGGTATACATAATATTAATGTTTAATCTCTTGAAATTATTTTGATTTATATGTTCTTGTTTATTCAAATTAATAGGGTTCATAATTTATTTAAAGCACTTGGATGTAAAATTATACCTATAAATAAAAAAGAAATAGAGTCTCTAGGACTTAGAATTTCACAAGCAAAAGGAATAAAACGCGCTGTATTGACTGTCCCACTTAAACTTCCAGAATATAAAGACAAACGAAATAGATAAAAAAAAAAATCAATTGTTTGTATTTTTGGTAAATATATTTTTAATTTTTAATTTTTTTTTTGAAAATCGTATCTTTTATTCATTTATCGTTTTTGTAATAAATACAAGTAGATGCGTCCGTTTTATTTATAACTTCATGGGTTGTGGTGCGCTAGATTTTGTAATCTCAGCTCTTTTACATCCAATTAATAAACAAAATATTTAATAAACAAAATATATATAAAACTTTGAACAAAAGAATTGATATATTTGAAATACGTGATTTTATACCTTAATTGTTTTGAAAAATCATCTTCGACATCTTCATCATCCCAATTATCTTCCCACAAATGAGTTTCTTGATCTTCTTCGGTTTCGTTCCAATCTACATAGTTAAAATGTACAAATCGCAACGTGAATATAGTTAAAAAAAAATGCAATTCGTTTTTTTTTTTTTGAGACAATAATCCCATCGATTAACAAAAAATGTTCAATACATTCGTATGAATTGGTCCAAATTACTCGTGTTGATTTATTTACTCCTTAAGCAACTTTATTTTAAATATGAAACAATTCTACAATTTATTCAGTAAAATCTAACCTTCTGCAGCGAATTCTTCAAATTCGTCATCTTCTTCTAAAGCTCCTAGATGTGGTATAGAAACTTTTTGTGGTTGTGCACTTTGTTGTTGAGATGTCTTGCTACTCTCCCCATCAGTATTATCCGTTGGCTGCTTATTATTGGATGAAGAGGAGGAGGAACTCCCTGGATTGTTTGAAGACATTGCTCTGGAAGTTTTTGATCTTAAAAGATTGATTTTTTTTTAATACAGTATTAAACATCGATAACACGTAATTCCGCAATTGTTACAAAATTTGATAGCCAATCAAAATCCATTAATAAAAATATAACATCAATATTACGTATACCGTGATACGTACCGTGTTTCTTGAATATTCAGAAAGAAAATTCAGAAAGAAAATGTCGTGGTATCAAGCAACTATTAGTTTAAAAAGAAAAGCAAGAGGCTGTCATTTAATTACAAACGAAATCATGGGACAGGTTCCTGAAATACGAAACTACAAAATTGGAATGGCAAATATATTCTGTAAGGTTAAAACTCTCAATTATTCTAAACAATTTGCCTATGTGAGACTCAAATTATTTTCTCTTGTTATAAATGTACTTAAAAGTACAACATACATCCGCGTCACTTTGTCTAAATGAAAATGCCGACCCGGATGTACGTGTAGATATGGAGATGGGATTGAATAAATTAGTTCCTGAGAATTGGCCTTACATCCATACAGCAGAAGGACCTGATGATATGGTAAGAAACCCGTTGTCATAATTATAGATTTATTTTTATAAATATGATAAGAGCAACTTGGATATATTCAGTGACAAGAATATCAGAACCGAGAAAGTGTGCTTTACAACAATCCTTTTTTGTAGCCTGGTCATATTAAAAATGCCATGATCGGCTCGTCTTTAAATATTCCTATCACTAATGGAAAGTTGAATTTAGGGACTTGGCAAGGGTAAGTAATGTATTAATAAATGAGTAAAAAAAATGTATTAATTTAATTAACAATTAATTTATTTATTCTTTCTGAATTTAGCATTTGGTTATTGGAGCACAGAGAATATGCATCAGGAAGAAGAATCGTTGTGACTTTGCAAGGAGAAAAAAAGTAGGATTAGAAAAATTATAGTAGATTGATAATTTAAATATTTAAAACATTTAAAAAAATTAAGATTCTGCCTTGTTTGATAATTAAAAGTATATATTAAATATTTATTTAAATATGCAGTATATATAAATAAATTAAGATTCGAGTAATTAATTATATTTTCTACATTAAAAATTATTATTACAATTATTATTATTATTATTATTTTGTCTTTCATAAAATTTGGAATAAATTTGAGTAAATAAAAAAAAATATATAATAGTTTTTAGCACAAAAATATGCTTGTATAATATGACTTAAAAACGTGTAAATTCGGGAATTCGTTCAGTGGATTTTGGGGGATATGCAAAATAAATTTTAAATAATGCAAAGTAAGCTATTGGAATTCCACTTCATTAACATCGACTAATCCGTAAAGTAGTTCAAATCGTTTTAAATGTTTTATAAGTGACGTAAATTTCGGCAAAGAAATCTTTTACTTTTTTTAATTTCTTTAAGTACTGGTGTTGTAAATCCAATAACTAACAAATTTAATATTATTAAATTGAAAATCGCCCAGAGTTCTCGCGAAATTCATTATTATCTACTATTAATTTGAAATCATTTTTCTGAAATTCGCGGAGAAGCTATACGATATGATTGACATCTCGTTCGAACCATCATTGCTTTCCAGAAATAAATCCTTTTTGATGAATATCGTTCCATTGAAATATTTCGATTTTGTAAATGTGCTGTCAATTCATTTGTATATTTACTAAATGAGTGCTGCAGGCGGAAGCTCGCTGGTGAAAATTTAAGTTTTTCCCGCTGTAAATTTACATATATAGAATAATTGAGGTATTAAGTATAGTATATATGGGACCTCCCACAGCAAAGGGTGCATTGGGCCAAAAAATTTTTTTTTTATTTTAATTGATTTCTTGAAGAATTAGACTAATGGGATTACAATTTTTATAAAATTACAAAATTTAAATTTTTGTCCCAATGCACCCTTTTGCTGTGGGGGTCCCCATATGCATCATTTTATTATTATTTTTCAGTGATAAAACTTGGGACGTGCATATAAGTTTTTGCGGTTTATATTAACCAAGGTATTTCTTGAATTTTTATTTACTGACACATTGATTTTTCCTTCACAGTTATATCGATCTAATTGCCTTCTGGAAGAATCTTCATTGTTGTGCTTCTTTATTGGCTACAACGATAGTAGATTGCCAGGAAATTAAAATTCAACTCGAATATGTGCATTCATATGGTTACACGTTTATTTGATATTAATTTTATTTGCAGGTTAGAACTTATCCCATCATAGCACTAGCTAAAAACATTGCGTAAATTTGTATATATGTCTATTCTCTACGATATCTAAAAAGACTTTTGATTTTTGATCTATGTAAACAAAACTCATCTCGGACACCAAATTGAAATGTTCGCATTTACAAGAACATCCGATACATAAATACCTACTTCTACATATCAAATTAGAATGTTTATATTTACAAGAATTATTTATCTTTTACATTTGAATTTTGTACCAGTTATAGTAGAAGTAAACTGTTTTCACAACTTTCATAAATTAATAATTTTAGCAATAGATAAAAACTTATTACATTTATAAGATACTGTATATAATCAATAATATAATTAATAAATAAAAATTTTAATAATGTAATATAATTAATATTTCCACACTTCTTTTTTTTGATGATTCCACACCCCCTTGAATGTAGTCATTTTTAATTTTTTTAAAAAATTTTTTAAACTTTGATCGAAGATATCTTGGCTTCCGCATCTAGCCAAATTTAAAGAATTTTAATTGTATCAAATAAAAAAGTTTATCGAAATATCTTCAATCAAAAGTTTAAACAAATTTATCAAATTTGGTTAGACAGGTGCTGAGATATCTTCGATCAAAAGTTTAAAAATAATTCTTGGCACTGTTTGAAGATATCTCGGCACCCAACTAGCCAATTTTTTTTTATTTTAATTGTTGAGGATAGTATATAGAATTCAGGCAAAAAGTTATTGAAAAAATTTTTAAAAATTAAAAATAATCCACATTTTATAAAAATAAAAAAATTTAACTTTTTTTTAATCCTGGGTTAAAATTATAAATTTCAACTATATACCTATAATTTATATTAGTTTTTACTCAAATTTTAAAACTAAAAAGTAATATTAAAACTAGAATTAGAATTAGAAATAGAGTTAAAGCTAAATAGGTTTTTTTATAGTGCCGACCATTTTTATTTAGTGCATCAAACGTGATTATTTAAGCAAGTTAGCAATATCATAAAACTTTCAAATAAATAATAAACAATTGTATATATAACGTGTAACTATATAGTTATTGATATACAGTATATACCAAATATAAACAACTATAATATAATAAAATTAATTAAATTTACAAAACAAAAAGATTTTTAACTACTGTATAAAATATATATATATATAATTTTAAAATGTGATTTATAATTAAAAATCTTTTAAATTTCTATATATATAACAAATTCTCTAATCAAAAAAAAAACTTTTAGTCAATCAATTTGTAAAACTCTAAATATATTTATAAATATATATATATATATAGTATATATATCAGTAAATTTTTTCAACAATGTAAAGTATATGTACTTTGTCTATGCCGTTATAATATTATATTTATTAGAAAATCTAGAACAGTTAGCATCTGATATTTTTTAAAAAATTTTGAGTATAATATTATGAGATTCAAAAAATTTTATTTGCGGAAGAATATTATGTAAAAGTATGCAAATAAGGTGAAAAATAAAGTATGCTTGGTCGGTTGTTCTATTTCATCGCACAAGAACAATTGAATCAAAAAATTTGAGAGAAATATATCAGATATTTCAACACAAGATAATCTTCGAAATATGATATCTATAAATGATAAATGGAAGTTGAAGAAAAAGTGAAAATATAGAAAAGATCAAGGATTGATAATGAAGGAAAAAAACTAGATTATAATTTATTCCTAGAACTAGTTACACGTAAGTATTTAAAAGTTCGAAATACAGGCAAATTATGTGGTAAATTCATACTTTTTATTTATTTTATTCATAGGAAAAAAAAAAACTTTACTTGTTAAATATATGTCAGTTCTTTTAATAATACATACACATACAGAAAAGGTTAATTCAATAATAACCTTAAAAGCATAAAGAAAGAATTTCGCATAGAAAATGATGAAATTTCATGATAATAATATGTAACACTCGTTAAAATTTCACTTCTCCCATTTCTCATTAGCGGTATTGCTAAACCCTGCAACTTTTCTAAGTTTCTCCCCAAATTTATATGGTTCTTTAGTAATTATACGATTAACATCTTCTCTTAAATCTTCGCGACTAAGCACAATTCGATCAGCAAAGTGATGATTCGTATCACGATGAGTAGCTTCATCAGCACGGATCGCCAAAACTACATCGCGTAAAGTCGCAGTTTCACGATCAAGATGCCAATAGTCAATAGCTATATCAGGGATATTTTTCATGTTTTGAATATTACCCGCATCAATTTCTGAATGATTATGAAATTTTTAAATAATTATAAGAAATTCAGTAAAATAATAGCAGGTAGTAGTTAATTATGTAAAATACCTTTAATAAAAGAGGTATAACTGACTATAGCTTCCTCTTCAAGGTAACCAACAACACGATGTGCTGTTTTTGGGCTAATCAAGTATAAAGCAAAGAAAGCATTATAGAAAATGCCTTGAACAAAAGTAATTAAAGCGCGTTCCCACGCATTAGGTTGAGAGATACGCATCCAAGTCATCAAGTGCATACTGTTGAATGTGAAATGAATTATTGTACGAAATATAATTTTAAATATAAAATTAAAATTCTAGTAATAATAATTACCGTTCATTTTCAGCTTCATGAAGCAAATGATGAATCCAACCTCCATCGTGTTTCAATTTCCTGAGAGATCGAAGGTGACGGATAGTTCCTCCAACCATACCTGGAACTGCAGCAATCTAAATGCATACATTAAAATGAATCAATTTAGCCAAAAAGAATATATATATATTATATATAATAAATAATAATAATATATATATATATGTACACAATATTCAATATTATACATATATAACAGTATGAAAAATTTAATGAAAATATTTATTATTACCGTTTCCAACATAACTGCTCGATGAATATATTTTTTCTTAAAAAACCAATCAGTAGGAAGTCTTATCAACTTAACAAAATAATAAGCGAACCTATCAGATATGGTATTAGGTTCACGATGAAAATTAAGTTGAACATCAAAATTTTCAAGATCATTTGTTTTCAATGGTTTTTCAGATATGATGACTTCATGACGAACTGGTTCAGGATGACGTGTGTCCAATAATATTTCAGGTGGGATTTGTAACTCCAATTTATTCTCACTATTTTTTTGAGCAGTTTGAGGGTTAAGAGGAGTTGTGGGAGATTGCTGTAATAATCTATATGATCCAGTTGTAAATTGGTGAGAGATGATGGACTTAAGAAACA